AATCTGATAGAATTGATTCAGGAAATTCATTTACTATTGATAAATTAGTTGTAAAGAAATAGCCAAATAGAATATGATCAAGATATGTAGAGTCTTGAATAGCATAAGAATACTCTTGTATATTAGTTGGATTAATATTTGGATATGTCTTTATAGTTCAATTATATTTAACATATCTCATTCTTTTCTTCTTTGTTATTTGTTTGTCTAATTTATCTGTAATTGTTATTCATGTTTTTGTATGTTCATGATTATTAGTTATCTTATCGATTTTATCTTGTAGATATTGTTTAACATAAAATTTAAATGGTTTAGTCATATCACATATTTTATAAGTCTTTGGTTTTGTTGGTTTATATTCAAAGTTTTTCATTTTATATCTAGTGTCTTTACAAACATTACTTTCTACAACATTAGAATGATCAGTTGGTAAATGATAACAAGAATAATTATCTTTTTCAAATAATTCATGCATATTAAATGTTACTTGTGGATAATATGGCAATCTAGTTGAATCTTTATCATAATTTGTTGTATCTCCTGACTGTGAAACTAAGTCTTCAGTCAATGAAACAACACCTGAAGTAACAATTCCATCAATATACTTAACACCAGATTTAATACTTTTATGAGTATAAGGTAAAGTAACAGATATTTTTTAATTTTGGTATCTATTTGACTTTAACTAAACTTCCAATATTCATACATATTTCCATACAAATCTCATAAATTACAATAATATCATATTCTAAATATGGATTGATGCTATCCGTGTTGGTTGTTATTTTGCTAACTGTTCAATTCTTAATATACTATTAGCAGTATCTATAGATTGACATTAAAATATTTTTGTCCTAATACAGAAAATGTAGTTTTATTTGTTTCAAATATTTCTGATATTCCATTAGTTGATTTGATAGTATAATTAGCCATTGTTAATATCTGTTGTAAACTGTCTCTTACAGTTAGATCAACAAATTCTACAATTGAACATACTATTTTATTTTCAATTTAACAGTATTTTGTTGTGATAACAACTGGCGTAGTCTATGATATCTTCTTTTTCTATATACACTATATACACATCGTTTATATCCACACATACCACGATGAGAAGTAGTTTTTCTTTGTTGATTTTTGATGTTTCTTTTCTTTAAACAAGCAATATGAGTTTTATTTGATGAAAATGATGTTTAAATACACGATGAATCACCACATTATGAATTATTAATGAATTTTATAAAAATAATAAAAGAATAGTTAATTAAACTAATCTAAAATGACACTTTGCCAAGTAGAAACTATTTCAGTAACTGAGTTAGCAGATTCTTCATCTTCTAGATGGATTACTTCCATCCTTCTTATCCAGTGTTTATGTGGATCATCAGACTTTAAATCAGCATAAATACTTCTATGGGGTTGTACACTAGTAATATAAATCTTTTCGTATCTATTCATCACATGCCAGCCTTTAATGTTAAGTGGAATTATGTAATAATCTATAAACCGGATGAATACGGAAGGCTTCATGTCGCTGTCTCTGAAATCATCATACCACCCAACGGTAGAGCAGCCATAAGACGGTATACCACTGAAGAAGCCGTTATCATAATGGATAACGTCGAACATTTGTTCTCCACTAGCCTTAATTAATTCAAAGACTTTTTTACTTTTTCCAACACCACTTTTTCCCCAAATATAATATATCTCTACTTTAGGCTTATAGACATCATCGATAGTCATGGAACAGAACATCGTCTTGACTTCCCACCAACTCTTAAGATAATAGGCAGGAACAGTCTCAGGATCATCTATTTCTAGAAGATCATTGACAGTCTTAATAGGACGTCATTCCACATGACATTCCCCGATTTCATCAATGATGTTATTATGCTTTTATATAATCAACATTTTGTTTATTAGAGCCACAGATTAATTCTATTTGATCCCCACGACAATACTCTGGATTAAACCTAACTGTTTTTGAGAAACAGACAAATATGTGTATGTGTTTATGATTAGTAGTTGGAGCAGTCTCTTTCCATAAGATAAGACACTTAAAGTTAGGAATTGTCAATAAAAATTCTTTAACTTAGGCATATTCTTCAGGCTGGTTAAGTGTAAGCTGGAAGTATCTAGCCATGGGTTTCACTTGTAACATATGTAACAGGTTAAACTGGTAATACCAACAACCCAATGTTAATTTTATAGATCTAGCCACGTATTAAGCAGAATATAGATAGGACAATATGATAATAATATAGT